ATATATAATTTTTCTTTCCTTAATATACAATAATACACGTTATTATTAATATCAAAAGAGAAAATTTTGATTTTCATGCATACATAATTTTTCGGAAAAAAGTCCTGTGTTTTAAAAAAATTAAGAATAAATAGAAAAAGAGAATAGAAAAGATCAATACCGTGAATTTTAAAGAAATGTTATATTATTTCTATAATTATTATTTCTATGCATATTTATTGTGTGATATTCTATTACATAATGTATCAATTTTGTAAAGGATCATTAGAATATAACTCAAAATCGAATTAAAAATATCTATTCACAAGAATAATATCATAAATTTATTGTCAAAAAATTATTCATTTATTAAAAATAATAACAACACATATAAAAAGTTATCATTTAATTATATGATATTATGATAATAGTAATGAAATTTTATCTTCTTCTATATATATATAACTTTGAAATATAAATAACTTTGATTATAATTATAAAACAGATAAATGAATTAAATTTCTCTTTGATAAAAAGTTATCTGTATATCTAATTAGCATTAAATTTGTTACTTATTTAATTATCGAAAAACGATGTGTAATTTCAAATGACTTTTTTTCTCGGTATTGAAAATAAAAAACATATGATATAAATAGATATTTTAATTCCAATTACAGCAGGACTTTTTCTAGGCCAGTCGTACCTATGTCTCACCAGCAGCATGTTGAAGAATGTCTTTTGCATTCTCATCTTTCTTCATCCACCAGCAATACTTCAATCTTCGTAACCAAGTCTTTGAGATTTTGGCATGTTCCATTGAATTTTCTAAATATCTCTTATTTAATGAGCCTATCGGATCGAAAATTAATGCTAAACCGCCAATAGTAAGAGCAATAAGAACCCAATCGAAGAACACCAATGTTTGAACAACCGACATCGTATAATGTTCGTAACTACATTTGATATTTGATCCATATATCCAGAATGTTCCTAAAACATTCCATCCTATTTCGGGTAAAATTAATAATATCCTGTAAAAGCAAAAGATACATTTTTTAATATATTTTGCATTGTGATTTAAATCTTATGAAATTTGATTGATCGAATGTTTAAAGTTCTTGTATTTTATTTTAAAAATAGCCTCTAAAAGAATTGATAATTTTGACAAATTAATTTGACAATTTAAAAAAAAAAATTTTAATAAAAAAAAAAAAAGATCTCTAAGCAAGTGAAATTAATTTTTTTCGAAAATGAAACCTGAAAATGTATTTCTTTTTTTTTTTTTTTTTTAATTAAGAATAAATGTTTAAGTAATTGAATGTATAGAATATTTTTCGTTATATAATTTAGCAATTATTAAAAATATTTAATGTAATAAACATGCTCTACCTATTGAAAAGACAATAATTTTTAATGCAATATTAGTATAAAATTAGATATGAAATTTCTTTCATAATTCTTATAATAATTGCAAATATATCTCTATATTAATATCGAGTTTTCTTTAAGTAGCTTTAATTAGTTAATGAAACTATAAAAAATAATTTTATATCATGCATAACATGTCATGTCATGTCATGTTTTTTGATATAAAAAATTACTTATATGAAAAATCATGTCTTTTTTATTGTATACATTAATTGCATATGAAATATGTATGAAATATCAATATCATGAAAATAATTTTATCCAATAAATCTTAGATATGAAGAAAATTTTTTATTCAATTATATTAAACTGCCTAATTTTAATATTGTTAAAAAAATTATATTTAAAAGAAGATAATATTACAATAATATATTCGATTAAATCATAAATTAATATATTATAACATATACAAAACATACCGGAATAAAACAAAATATTGTTTTATTTTAAATATTTTATAATAAATAACTTTATTAATAATAATGAATAATTCATTAATGATACATAAATTGCTATATAATTTTTACACATTTACTTACTTAATTGCCAAAAATGGTTCAACGTATTTACGAGCCTGCGTTTCCATGATAGATCCTCTTGAGCTCAATTTTATGATAATAAGTAGAAGAAGTATAGATATAATAAGAAATGAACCTTCTCCCAGAAGATACACACGAACTAATACTCCACCTGATTGGCAATTCCATGTATATTCGTAATATTTGATGCAAGTTATTACAATTGGAACTAACCTATAAACAATTAGAATTAATTGTATAAAAATTCAAATGATCTAGAATTTATTCAATAATATTTTCCGAATATTAATAATAATTGCATGAATATAAAGTAATAAGTATAAAGAGCATTATAACATGATTTTGAAACGGTAAAAATCTGCAAATAAAAGAGCGTGTAAAAATGATCTTGATGTTGAATTTCGAGATGAAATTTTTTTTATTGCATCATATTTTATTCATTGCAAGAATAAAAAAAATTTCTCTCTCTTTTTCTCTATTATTTACTGTTCTTATTTATAATGTTAGAAAAATAGAAAAGATTTAGAGACTCGTATTTTTATAATATATATATATATATATCTAATTCTACTAATTTATTGAATTTTTACTATATTTATATTATTTTCGCATTGAAAATCACTGCATATCATATACGATTGAATTATTTATTTTAACACATTATATATTTTATTATATAATTTATTTTCATATCTTTAATATTCCAATTAAAAACAAGAACATCTTCGTTTTTTTGAAAGATATCGCATAAAAAATTTATATTATTGTACTACTTATAAAAGATAATTTTTCTTTTTACAAGTTTTAGTTTACAAGTTTTTTTAAAATTTAGTATGAAGAGTCATAATAATATTTAATGAAATGATGAATAAAGATGAAATGATGAATAAAGATAAAAATGATATCATATTGGAATCATTTTTCATTAAATAAAACAACAAGATATTCTCACAACGGACAATATAATTAATAAAATATTTATAATATCCTTTAATAATTCGTGAAAAAAATTTATTGATAATTATTTAAAATAAGAAACTTCATCGATTTTAATAATTTTTAAATTAATATATTTTTTATCGTTTTCCATATACATAAATATCATTTGATTATATGATAATCATATAATGATTTTAAGTTATACACAAAATAATGATTTCCCATCTAGAGTGAAAAACATGGCAAAAAAAATTTGAAAATGATAAATTTAAATTCATTTTTAATAAAGTAAAAAAATCAATAATTTATGGATATTTTTAATTTGGTATAGAGTTCACACAATTTTCTGAAGAATTATTGCAATTATTTTGCGATTATTTTAAAAAATTTTAAATTGCAAAATATAAATAAAGAGAGATTTTTAAGATTTATTTATTATTATCAATGTGATATTTTAACATTTAATTTCTGACTTTAGACAAATAATGGATAATATTATTTGAATAAGTTAAAGAAAGAAATTTAATGTCTATTGTAACATATATTTTAAAAATAATTTTAAAAATATTAATTATATAGCAAGCTTTTAATATTTTTTTTTAATTTCTATTTCTATATCGCAATCTTCTTCTCAAATTCAATCATAGACAGGTAGTATGAAAAATGAAGAGGATAAAAAACATTTGTAATAGTTCTGTTTATTTCTGCTTATTTCTGCTTACAATAAAATTACATAAAATTAATAAAAAGAAAGCATAAGAATTAAAATCATCAATTTTAATGGAATTTTTAAAATATTCAATAACATTTTATCACTTTATAAATTAACTCATTTTACTCACTTTACTCATTTAAAAATTAATTCAAAGCTTGTGAATGTTTTTGATTTAAAAGCTCATGATGTAAGTAATAATATCTTGCTAATACATTTTTTATTTTTGTTAGTATTATAGAATTATTCTTATCAATTCCTGCAATTATTTTGGATGGAGTGAATAACTTATACGTTCATGTTTAATTTTTAATTAATAATGAGTCATTAAAATAAGAAAAATAAAATTTTTATATTTTTACAAATTTAAATAAAAATGATAATAAATTTGATCATAGTTAATAATAAATTTGTATTACAAATAGTAAATGAAAAAAAACAATGTCGAATTTTCCTCTTTAGTTTCACGTTAATTTTCTTTTCTTTTCTTTTTTTTTTTTTTTTTTTTCTTATTTTGAATTATAGAATTAAAAAAATCAAATTGACAACCTGTAATTTCTGTAATTATTAATATTAAAATAATTTTTATCTCGTTAATCCGAAATTTCATTTTGATGTATCATTTTTTACTTTTTTCATCTTAAATTATTTTTATTTAACGAATACAATCCATAAACTTTTACATTAAATTTTGCTTGTTTGAATTGGAATTACAATCGTATCGGTTTTACAATGTCTGAAGATTGTTTTTTAGATTTATTTTAATTCTATTATTAATAGTTAATTTTATTACTATATTACTTATATTTAAAATAAAAATAAATTCAATTAATCAACTTATTACTTACCAAGCGATTCGAATGAAAACTTCAAAGAGACCTGGATAAACACAGTCGTCGCTTGCAGTCAACCATTTTCTGCCGAAAAGTTTTATAGCCGGCATTTCTCTGTGGAGAATACAGCGATATATAAGATTATTTTCTTTACAGAGATTGAGATACTTTCAAGAATATTTCTCGCAAGATGAAACAAGATTATCATTTTTTCAGTTGTGGCCTTGATTTTATCGTAAATTTTCAAGTTTCGATTTGTATGAAAATATTTGAAAAGATTAAAATAGAAAAAATTCTTAACTATGAATATATATAATAAATTCTATTAGTTTATAATAGCAAAAATATATGAAATAAATTTATAATAAAAATGAGGTTACTTAGCTTTAACTATTAAACTTTTTTTTAATGAACGAATTTAAGAATATTTTGTTATTAATTAAACACATATTTCATCGATATAAAATTTTATCAACTCTTTTTATTAAAATCACCGATTGAAAAATTTTTTCAGAATATTTTGTTGTTAATTAAACACATATTTCATTACTATAAAATTTTATTAATATAATTCTTTTCTCTTTTTCGTTTTCAGATTTTTATTGAGATCTCCAGATGACAATTCATCAATCAAGAATTCTAGTTGGAAATAAACTTACTATTAATGAAAGTTACTGTCGGATAGTTACTTTCAATGCAGTGTATACTTGCGAGAGATATTCATGAGAGCAATTCTCCAGAGTTTTACTCTCAAATGTACGTATTCATACTTTAAGTCTTGCATGGGTAGCGTTCTTTAGAATTTAATGTTGATGTGCATGAAGAAGGAACAAATGACAAAAAGAAAAGATTTGTATATTAAAATCAGATCAACAGAATTTTACAATATTTGTAAAAGATTCAAAAATTGGAGAAACATGTAAAAATAAGTAACGATATTTTATGATTATAAATTTTCTCAAGAATTTGATAATCTTTTGTATATATTACGGCAAATATATTTATTTTTCTTAATAGTAAATTACAAACTAGAGAAAGCGTTGAGAGAAAGTCTTTGTCTATCCTACATCTGAGAATATTGACATAACTTTACGGTATTCATAACTGGACCCTGACCCTAAAATAAAGATCAATTTTACATCTTAAAATTCTAGAAATAATTTCAGGCGCAAAGATGTCTCTTTTGCTCGAAAACATTCCATTTTCTTTCAATACCAATGATATAATTAATATTGTTTTATACTAATAATATTTCTATTATATAAGGAAAACTATTTTCTTTAATTAAGATAAATATTCTCATCATTCTAATTAGTGTAGAAAACAGTTTTTTTATATTTATGATCAGTTATTTGAATTATTCTTTTATGCATGAGTTATATAACTGATTCTTAGTGATTTCAAACAACTTTATCATTTATTACCATCACGACAAAACTCGACATATTTTGTTTCAACTTTTTGTTCAAGTTTGTTCAAGACTCATCGACGACATATACCTAACACTATAATTGTGGCGCGATAATTTTACGCGCTTTGTGATTGGCTAGTGTGTTCCATTAATTATTCGTTAACAAAGCAAAAACGAAAATATTTGCAAAGGAAAAAATTGTTTTGAAAATTAAAACCACTCACAATTTTTAACATTTTTCGTGTTATTAACGAAATTTAAAGACCTGAATGAAATGTAATTGCGAATTTTATTAATTATTATTTCATATACATATTATAATTTAATAATTTATATTAATAATTTATTATTATTTTATTTTATATTCCCAGGCAATCGTATTAGCTGATTTAAAAAAAAAAGAAAAATCTGGATATTTGGTAAAATCAAACAATAAAGAATATACAGATAAAAAAATGTATATGCTATAATCAAAGTAAAAAAAGAAAACAAAATTAATAACATGTGTGTATTTAATATAATTAATAAAAATAATAGTTAATTATTATTATTATTGAATTATTATTGAATATCGAATACTAAAAATACAAAAAAAAATGTTGAGAATTATGAATGATCCATATTTCCAAGAATTGTACACGAATATTTAATAATTATACATTTAAATATAATTTTTTTGTAATTTATGCATTTAAATTTAACTTCATTTGTAAAGAATATTTAATATCTTTTTGCAATCACAACTCAGAAGTGTTAAAATTTTAAACAAAGCATGAAATTTCTATTATTCTATATTCTATCTTACTATTATATATATATATATATATTATTTTTTTTTTTATATGTACAAAATGTTTGGTTCTCTTATTTAAATTAAGATAAAAATAAGATTTTTTTTGTGACAAGAAATGCACAAATATTTTTTTTTTACTTAGATCATAAATTTTCAAAAATTACTTAAACATATTTGATGTTTAATAAAATATAAAAATTACATAAAATAACAATATTTCTATTAAATATACGAAAATATTTTTCCTTTTGTAATATAACTGTAAGAATATAACTGTAAGAAATAATTTACATTAGAATACATTAAAATAATTTATAATTCTTATCGTTATATACAATATTATAAATAGTAATTAAATGCTAATAAGCTAATATACTAATATCCAAAGTTTAATTCTATTTTTTATTCAGTTATTAACTCTCTTTTTAAATTTAAAGTTTAATAAATAATATTTTTTATATATTAAATATTATAAATATAATGCACATATATTTATTTAAAAAGTTTACAACAAATTCGAAATTCGTCTACATAAATATGACACACGTATCGTATATTTCATATTTCGTTTTCGAAATTTTTCTATTTATGTGTGTTCATTTTCTAAACTAGTTTTTCTATAAATAATATTTTCTTCCCAAGACAGAGAATTTCTATGTCTGTATACTTTCGATTTATTCATTATACTAATCGACATATTACGAGAAAGAACATTAAATCAAATGGAAACATTTAAATTTCTAAATATATATTCACCTGTGGAACAAAGCGTTTCACTGTAGAATTTTGAATCATTCACAAAAGTGCCAGTTTCTCATATGCACAATCCGCGGTTTTTCAAATATATTTAAAAAACAGGATGCAGAGACTTTTTCAACTATTCATACGACAAATTCTTGATATATTTTAACGAGGGATGATTTTTAATTCACATGCATCGAAATAAATATCATATCCGTTCACTATCAATGGAACTTAAACGAATCCGAAATGTGATAACGTCGATGAACAGTTGCTGATCTAGCAAAATATGCGACGAGCTAAATGATATTTCATATAGCCGACGTGATTAGAAAGAAGCGCGATTTAATATGACTGCCGGAAAGAAGTTTCGACTCACGACAGCAAAGTGCACACACACAATACGCTCGTAAACCCGTTCACCTTGTTTCGAGTAGCGAGCATCCCGCGTTGAATCTTGCGAGCTGGTTGGCGGTGACTGTCCGGCACTTTCCCTTCGTTCCTCCCAATCACACCGTTTCTTTTTTCGCTTAAGAAAAAAAAAAAGAAGAAAAAAGCCAATAGCACGGACAACAGGTGATGGTAGGAGCAAGTATTGCCCCTAGTATTTCACTATTGCAACAAGTTTTGTCGCTTTATTTCATGCAAAAATGAAAATGAGCTGATGATTATAATTATCGAGCAAACAAAAAATTTTATTTTTATTTTTTAACGCAATGGAAAATGTATGTTTACTCGCTTAAGTGAAAATTATGCTAACTTTGCTTGATGAGGAAGAGGAAAGATTAAATATCGATTAAATTAAATATATATATATCGATTTTATAAAAATTTTCTTTAACAATATTTATAATATATTTATATCATATTTGTTTGTAAAATTAATTAAATAATTAATTTTTAAATTTCATTTAATAATTAATGAGATAAATTTTCATTAATTATTGTGATTAATGATTGCGTTCTGTATATGATAAAAGATATTTTGAATTTATTTATGATCATAAATTATCTAGTTTGTAAATATGTAAAGAACTTAATGTATGCAATCATTTTTAATTCTTATATAATAGATATTTAAATATCTATTTCATTTATAATAGAATAAAAAAATTCAAACGCTAAAAAAGTGATGTCTGAAATCATCAATTTATATAAATTTTCTAAATATTTTTTTATGCACATATTTATGCTTAATAATAATAGATAAATATGTGTTTAAATATTTATCTCTATTTTTTTCAATAATTTCAAACAAAATTTTTTACTTGTCTTCTTTTATATATCTTATTTTACATATACAAAATATTAATATATTCTTCATTTCTGAATTATCAATTCTAGAAGTCAAAACAAACGTAAAAATTAATATATAAAAATGTCGATCGAGGCTTATTTAATTTATTTTAAGTTATAAGTTGTTTAAGCGAAGAGACAGAAATAAATTAAAACGATAGAGATAGACTATCTTATTATATCTGTTTCATAACATAAATTATTATTTGTTGATTTAATAAATAACCGACATTTTTGCACATCAAATTTTATTTTAATTTTGATTCTAACAAAATATCTCAAGAATATATTAATATTCTTATATATGTATATATCTATATTCTATTTTTAAATTTTCTCTTTGTAGCTTATTAATTGCTTGATAAGTGATGATATATAAAATATATGATTAATAAATTCTTAAAGTACGTCACTATTTATTGATTATTATTTGAAAATTTCTCAGTATTATCAACTTGTAAGAAATATTTTGAAAAATTATTAGCGATAGCTTTATTCTCAAATACGTATCTTTAAATTTGTGAAGAATAAAATTGTGATATTTGCAGATACGCATTAGAAATTAAAAATAATTTTTCTTGGAATTATTTTTTCAAGAAATCTCAAGAAAAAGAAAAAAAAAATATTGAAAATTAAATAATTAAAAATCTTGTATCATGAATTAATCATTTATATATTATATATTTATATTATATGTATATTTATTTATAATTTTTTTATTACGTTACGATATGCATTTAAATGCATTGTGATTGTTTTTATTATTGAAAATATCAAAACATATAAAAATAATACATAAAAAAAAAATAATTATGTAAATAATTATTGTAATTTATGTAAATAATTACATATACATTACATATACGTTAAATATATAATTTATATTAATATTGTAATATAACTATATAATATGTTAATAAACATATAATACATATACAAAATTTGCAATTCGATTTTAACGATATTTCATATTACTAACAACTATAATCGCTTGAATCAATAATTTATATTTTTTTTATATTTTTAATTTATATTTTTATTTATAATTTATATTTAATTTTTAATTATAATGATGTATAAATAATATAAAAGTTACTTGTAATAAATTATCTGAAAGTAAATATCATAGATAAAGTGACACATTAACGCAAGAATTTTATATATACAAAAGTGTGAGTTTTTCGAGAAGTCAAGAATTTTAAATAGATGGTTGCCGTAACTGTGTTTATTGTGTGCAATAATTTCTTGGAAAAAGAATTTAAAATTATTAAATTCTTATAAATTCAATATTTGAAAATGCATTTAAATAATATGGCATCGAATTTAATTTAAATTATAATCGAATTCCTAATTGTTCATTATTGCTAACAATTTGTAAATAATAATAAAATACTCACTTAGTTTTGCCATTTGTCGATTGACGAAAATGAATATGGATATTTTTAAGTTTGTATCAATGAAAAATTTAATTTACAAACATAAAAATATGATAAAATGTTACTGTATGTAACAAATATGTATAAAAAAATATATTTTATGATATACCGTTTACCATAAACTTAAGTCTATATAATTTATATCTAAAACTTATGTAAAATTTACTGAAATTATAAAAATAGAAAAGAAAAAGAGAGTTTTGTGTTAATTTCTAATTTCTCTATAATATACATGCATAACTATACATATATGCGTGATATTCTATATATATAATAGTAATATCTATAATAATAATAAATGTAAAAATATTAATGTACGTATATGTAATAATAAATCAAGTGAATAAATATTGACTTTATTTTGAATAAAGTTCTCGAAAAACTGCTTCATCATTGATTTTGATAAAGTTGTTTTTAAAACGCTTTCTCGTGACATACATATAATTGTAAATATAAAGAATATTCAGACAATGGAAAGAATTACAAAGAAAAAAAAAAAGTATAAAAAGTCTATATTCTCATAAACTTGAACGCTATCGTTTTTTAATTATTATAAACTATAAAAAATGTTTTTAAAAAAGTGTTTCTATTTCAATATTATTGGAATAAAATTATTTGCATTAACTATTTCCACTAATGCATTCGATATAGCTTTACATAAAGCTATATTGTTATAAATTAAATATTTTCGCGTTGTTTAATATAGAAAAATAACAATAATCGTCAATAATTTAAAGAAAAAGTGGCAAGAAAAAGGAATGAAGATTTTATAGGTTTGTTTGGTTAATAGATACAGGTATGTTATTTTGATCATCTTGATACTTACAAATCCAAATTAATTGCAGTTCTATTCAAATGATATTGTGATCGGCCATAGCTGGATCACAATGATAATCTAAAATATAACCAATAATTTCACGTGTTTTTCTTTCATACATATATAATTTATATACATAAATAAATATATAATTTATTTATAATTGGATATAGATATGCAATCACTTATATCTAAGTATCTAAGTAATATCAATTTATATTTTCTTTTTATCATATTTCTTATTATAATTACATCGTTTGTTCGGAATGTATAAATACTATATAAATACTACGATAAATGTTAAAATGATTACTTTTTTTAATATCTATTACGAATGATGATTGTAAAATGTCAACAGCCAAATTCATGTTACTACGATTCATAGCCTATTGGTTATTGTATTTAAAAATTGTAAAATAAAAAGAAGAAAACACATTTCCGCGTTTACGAAAAATTGTCCTTTAACTCGAAAAATGAAAACCGTTAAGTTAATAGGAATAAAATTATTAGGAAATAAAAAATAAATTTAAAATAAAAATGATTAAAAACCGATTTTTTCAAAGAATGATTAGTGGCATTATTTAGATTAAATAGCAATTTTATTTTGATATCTCTATAATGTAATTATATATATATATATATATATATATATATAT